AACAGATTAAATAATGTTCAGGCTCAATCACCTGCTCTCTAAGTTAGGTTTCAGGCTAATTACTAGGTACGCAGCCAATGGGATCGTTTTGCCAATTAGGCGATCTATATACAGGCATCTGATGTGACCTGGCATCCTCACTGAACCATTCTGGAGAGTATGCTTCAGTGCAGACTGAGGCTGCTGCGAAGGCAGTTATCATCCGCATCCGCGCAACAAAGCGTTTTGGACTGGAACTCATTAGTCCGACAGGATTATGAAGGCAGACAACAGTTCGCCTTGTTGAAGGCCACACTCCACTGGACAGCGTGCCATCCAAACCCTGACTGCTTCCTCAATAATGTATGCTAGGAGTCAGTCTGGTTATGGCTATCGGCATCCTAGGTCGTAAAATTTGCAACACTATATTGGCCAGAACTTTCTTCAGTGATCGATCCCGTAACGCTGTACTAGCAAATGCCCTGAAGAACCTGCCTCGATGTAGTAGATAGCTCTCTTAGTAGCCACAATAGTGGTGTGTCCGCTTACACTCGTCCTGACGGGGTTCACCTTCAAGCCCCTTCAGTAGCCGCACAGCGGCAAGTACTTTAGGCAGGAGAAAATTACCGAAAAAACACAAGATATACTGGGGTTGGGTATGGTGAACTGATGATGACTATTGATATGGGTGGAACAACATTACCGACAAAGACCAGGGAGTCTGGAATGGCCAGTTTCAGTTTATTAGCCGTCAGATGCGGCAACACCTGGATTTCTTCCACAAATTGGGACGAATGCTCACATTCCAGGTGTGTGTGTATGTTAGAAAAGCTCAGATGAACAAAGCCATGATTCCGACAAGCCAACAGCTGGCTCCGTCTGTGCTACTAATATGACATCGGCCGCAATTATAGAAAAGGATTAAGTGTCAAATATGATATGTTACAAAACAGCCTAGATAAATGTATGGGTTTTCTTACATGAGAAGTATACAGCATGCAGCTTGGAAGCTCTACGCGCAAGTGAAACTCTAGGTCAGGTTCAAAATTAGTAGCCAATTAAAAACTGCTCCTAGAAATCGAAAGATACTCCCTCAAGTATGCACAGAACAATAAGGCTTAATTTGTAAACACCTAAGTATAGAAAGAATATTTATGTTCATCTTTCTTAAAAATGTTTTAAATTTTGTCAGAACATAAAAATACCTGGGAGAAACATCATAATTTTAAACTTCATTTTTAATTGGCAAGGTCTTTGGAAAGAAGCTCTTTCAAAAGCCGAAATCATGTCGTAAGTAAAGGTATGTGGGATTATGCTGCACGTTTATTAATACTACAATCCCACCTAAGTAATCCTTTTTAGTAGAAAACATACTTTAATTCTTGTATTAGTGTTCCATGAGTTAGACTGGATACTGTAAGATCTTTCAAGTCAGATATATCAAGTCCACTTTGGAGGTCTTACTTCAAATTGCAAAACGAATTTGAAATAAAATTAGACTACTGACATCCAGGTTTCATATTCAGTCGTTCACAGGATCCGGCACCTATTGCAGAATCAAGGTTGCAACGGAACCTTTGGCAGCGATTGAATTATTGGACTTATCAATAAGGAAAGAAGTAGTAAGTTTGCTAACAGCTTGTACCATAGTGAATGGTTGGCTTTCTTTTTTAAAGATAACCTACAGGACTGGAACTTTTTGTGAGCGACAGATTAGCAGTCATAGCCATTACCATGAACTCCTGATGTTCTGAGGTACATTTCCTCTTCGAAAGCCCCTTCTTGGAGATAGTCAGGATTCGTGATAGAGCTGCATTCGGTTTCATGACAACCAGGTTATGTTTGGAGCCTTTTCGTCAAAGAGAAAAGACACATATTTAAATTCTCTTAAATTTCAGTTCGAACGTCATGAATTATGGCGTCAACCGAGTTCTCCACGGCATTTTTGACGGAATTCTCTGACCTGCAAGTGTATTCGTTT